GAAAGATAAATGCTATGTTTAATGCTTTACAGCGGTGATTGTTCAAGAAGCTGTCCTTGGTGTATATGAGACAGTACCAACATTTCCCAATTAATGCCTGCACTTTGGTAATACAGCCCTCGACTGGTGAAGGGTTTGAGGAGAGAGGCTTTAAAAGGAGATGAAAACAGGCGCCTGCGAGCGCTCTGCTTTACAACGATTGATGCTGATGGCTCAAAGGCCATCGCCTGCTCTCCTGGCTCCAGATCCAGCTCCCTCTGCCATTCCCAGCCCCGACCCACGCAGCATCCCCAGCTCTCCACGCTCTGGGACCTCGCAGCGCATCCCAGCCCACATTGCACTGCAATGGCTCCCACCCCAGCGGTGATAAATTCCCCCCCATCTCTGCTTCCGACTGCAAAACAGAATAAAAGCAGAACAAATCCCACTCGGCACACGCCTTCCGCCTCTCCCTATATAACAAGAGAGCAGTTTAACTTGGAATGTATCGCTGAAAACCCGAGCACAGATACGGGATGCCATAATTAAAAGCCTGCCCTTATCTGCAGCATGCCGCGGTGCGCCATCGGGTCGCAATCGGTCTCCCCGTATCAGCAGGAGTTTGTGCTGCTTCAGGGTGCTCACACGCAATCCCTGGTGAAGAGTGAGATAAGGGATCCAAACAAGGGCTCCTTTTAGCCTGCGGCAGTTTAATTACTTGTTGCATGGCTGTCTATTCAGAAAGACAAGAGGGATGGATTCATTTCTTTTTTCTTAGCTGATTCTCAGACACTTCCTTTACCGTGGCAGGGAAATGAGGAAGGGAAATGCATCCATGCATTCTGCAAAGCATCACTGGGGTGGTGCAGCACTGCCCTGCACGGAGCGCTGCTCCCCATGCTGCCATGGGCCTGGGACACAGCACAGAGCTGATGGCAGAGCAGGGCACTGCTCCCTCCACAGCAGGAATTAGCAGCTAACAAACAGTTCTCCTCCCAACCTGAGCGCACTCTGCTTCTTTAGCCATGTGTTTCCTCAGCTAAAAGGTTTCTTTTACCCCCTCTATCCTCCCCCCCCATCTTCTTCATAGATCCTGAATACAATAATAGCATTTGCAGTGATAAAAAAAATTAGATTGCATAAAATTAATATCGATTCAAATTAAACCATTCGTCTCCTCTCACTTCCCAGCTCCCCAGATACAATTATTGCATCAGCTGCAATAAACCAAGTAGAATTACAAGTTTGACTTGCAGCTTTTGGTTTCTCCCTCACCACCACCTCTCCCCTCCAAGGGAAGTAGGGAGAACCCCTTCTGCTGAGCACTGTTTCTCAGGGCCTCTTGGGTGCCCAGGCAGCATGGAAGCACCCAGAGGACCCAATCTTCCCTATGTGGCACTCAGGGTCCCTCCTGCTCACTCCATTCCTTTCACAGCCTTCTCCTGGCAATAACTCAAAAAGGAGGAAGGAGCTATGAATGCTTCTTGAAATTAAGAAGAGTGTGTATGGTCTTGGGAGCGTGGGAAAACATCCTCAGAGTCCTTCATCCTGGCTGTCACTGCACCAGGTCAGGGGCAGCCCCATAACCAGAGCCCCAAACAGCAGTGATGGGCACTGCCAGGAGAAGAAAGAAGCAGAAAGCAAAGCAGGTTTGATAGGAAAGGACACGTTTCTGTGGGTCTGGGCTTGCTCCAAGTCCCTCACTGCAAGGCAGCCTGCCAGGCCTGACCCAGCATGGGATGCACTGGTGAGGTTACCAGCAAAGCTCTCCTGGCTCAACGAACCTCCACTTCTTGGGGAAACCATTTCCAAATCAGCTGTCACACTGAGCAGGTGAACTACAGTAAACTTCTGTGGCTTGGAAGCAGGGCAGAGTTCTTAGAATCCCTCTCACCAGGCAGATTTGGGTTTAAGCTGCTATGTAAAACCCCATGTAAATGCGTCAGGAGGGAGCCCAGCTCCGTGCAGGCACTCAGCACAGCTCCAGGGGAGCAGAGGGCACCTGGGGACCTGAGGAGCATCCCCAGCTTCTCAGAAAAGCACAACAGCCCAAGCTCACCTTTCTTACATGTGATATTCAAGAGTCTCAGGCACACAGAGTAATGGAATTAGCAGAATTGGCTTTGCCACAGCAAGCCTGAGCTGAAACCAAGAGCTAAGGCTCATGGAAACCTCAGAGAAAGCATGGCTAAGGGCAGACTGGCAGCCCAGCTCTTCCTCTTTCTTTTTTTTGGCTCCGATCTATTATGAGCAGTTACACTCACATCCCTCTTCCCGTGCCTGTCAGCTATTCTTTAGCTCAGCCTCGCTCCAGACTATTCTCTGATGCCTTGTTGTCCTGAAAAGTGAACATGAATTACTGCCAGCTCAAATTAGTGTCTCTTCGCGCAGGGCGAACAGAAATGTTGAAGTCGGGGAGGAATCTGGATCTTCAGATCTTTGTGTCTGGTTTAACTTATGTTAAACACAGCATTATCATCAAACTCCTGAGAAAGCCTTTGGCATTGTGGTCACCTTTAACTGGAAGCTCATTCTCCAGGGGGTTCTGAAGGATGCCCACCCAAAGGAGGTGACCAGAAGCAGCATGAGCAAAACCCCAAAGGGAAATTCAACTCCATACATGAGTTGGACACGAAACAGCAGCCACTGGAGCCTAGCTAGAGGCAGTGAGCATGGTGTTATGGCAGACCTGTGTGCAGCAATAGGAAAGCTGACACAAAGGCTGTCCTGGCCAGGAGGTGCAGAGGATGGCGATAGAACTGAAAACCAAGCAAATAAAGCACCAACGTGCAACAGCCCCCAAAACACTCTGATGGTCAGTGAACTGCTCCCACAGGAGTCCTCTGGTCCATGTAATAAAGTATGGCTGAGATACTTCAGGGAGATGGAAAACACCATTGGATTTCTTTGCCAGCCTGAGCAACCCCAGCAATCCCAGCTGGGGGGGAAGAGAACCTTTCCTCAGGGGCATCGATGGATTTTATCAGTTATGCATTTGATTTCCCAAGGCTGAGCAGCTAATTAGCTCACATGATACGGCTTGGAAACAGCATTAAGCTGCAAACTAAGCCAACAGAAGCCAGAAACAAACACAGTTTAATCCAGATTCGGTCTAGTTATCTTCAATGGCCTTCCCAGGCTGCCCTGAAACTTGCAGAGGGGTACGTGAGCTTTATTGACCAGATAGATGTGCATTTCCAGAGAGATTACAGCCACATGAAAGGAGTTTTGAAATCTGGATTATACCCATAAGCAGCTCTTAATGACTCCTTTGCAGCTGTTACAACGCTCGTGTAAAGACCGAGCGAATATTCAAGGCTCCATTAAAGAGAAATTCACTGCACTGTCCGTAAGGATTGGATCTCTCCACAAACCCCAGTGCATGGCTTGGCCCTCCTTAACAAAACAACCACACAACCCACCCCTGGTTCAGCTCAGCTTCTGGGGTCCACAGCAGAGCACTGGGGGCATCCTTGTGAGAGATGCCTGAGTCCAAAGGGAGCCACCGAGCTGCTGTCACCTCAGACTTTGAAGGGAAGCAACCAGAGATCACAGCGAGCAGATTTTGTTATTATTATTGAAACTTGACAAGCAAATATAGCATCAGAATCCCCAGGAAGATTAAACAGAAAAAAAATGAGCTCCCTAAACTAATGAAGTACTTGAGCTCCAGGGCAACAACGGTTAATAGTGCTTCTATCTCAACTGAGGAGGCAACAAAATGCTGTTTAATTGTAATTTTAAATATGGATTTGAGGATCTTACCCATAAATCATGGAGTCAGATAAGGGCTGCGCGTAATGACAACTTGTCAAGGGACAGAAATAAAACTCATCTCAAATACTTTAAGATGAAACGCTGCGACTCAAGGCGCTGTAAGCTTCAGGGGAGACTTCAGCATCTACATGAGCCACCAGCCCTCTGCAGCCCTCAGCTGTGATAACCGAGCCCATATATTAACTGCAGCAAATCACAAAAATAAGGACAGTTTGGAAAGTGGTTTTTCTACCCAGTTTCAATGAGAGAAGTGCCAGTAAGGCAAAAACCCATTAACCAAACTTGCATTAGAACACAGATCTGCACGCGAGGGTTGGGCAACCCATGCAAGAAGACCTGCAGCCCAGCCACCTCCTGCCCTCACACTGCACTCAGATCAAAGCTGCCCACAGTGGATTTTGGTGCTGTTTTACCACTGGGTTCTCCTTCACTTCACATCCCTACAAAGGCTCAGCCTGCAGCTCACTGCCCAAGAAGCCCCAAGCAAAGCCAATGGCACACAGGCAGCACCCCACCATCACAGCCCCAGCAGGGAGTCTGAAGCACTTCCATCCCCCTGCACAAATGGGCAGCGAGGATGTTGTCATCTCCAACGTCCTGCTCTTTTCAGTGGCTTTTAATCTTTTTATCCATCTGTAAAATTTCTAATTAACTGAAGTAACTAACCAGCGTTGCATGAACTCAAACTGAGAATATTACAGTCAAATACATAATTAAAAATTTCTGCTGTGTTGCTTCCTTCCGCCAGTTACATAAGTTACTGCACGTAGTGCAAATGCCACAGCCAGAAACCCAATTTGGATTATTTCTGTTCTGCTTCAGCCACAAGGAAGCACCCCCAGCCCTCACCCCCACCCAGCCCCCCCAGCAGCTCTCCACCTGCGCTTGCTTTGGGCAGAGCAGTGCAGGGCTGGTGCCGTGAGCAGCTCTAAGTGGTGGGAGGCAGCAGGCTGCAGCCCAACAGCACAGGCTCTGCTGGCAGGCAGAGCTGCAATTAGAGCAAAGCGCACACTGGGCTCTCTCCTCCTCAGCATCAGCCCTGGAAAATATTCTGCAAGGAGCTAACAGCTGCTGGAGCTACAAAGAGAACTGAGCCTGCAATGGGGACAAGCCAACATGCCAGCCTCCCTCCAACACATGCATGTTCTAGTGACCCACCTGCCCCCGAGCTGCACAGAACCCACCAGATGCATCACCCACTGCCCCCAAATAGCCCACACAACCCCCAGTGTGCCACCACCTACCTAACATCAGTGCTTGGAGAGGATGAGCAGCTCCAGGAGGCACCAACAGGCAGCCCTGGTTCTTCCCATGCGCTTAAATCATCTCCAAACCAACCAAGCTGCAGTGCCTGCCCAGCAGGCTGGATGCTGTGCGCTCCCAGCCATCAGTGCCAAATTGACCCCATCTGGGAGGGGAGCACAAGTGGGGATGGATGGCTGAGAGCCTCGTTGGCCCAGGTGCTGCTGGTTCTGCTGGTGCTGAGCCCCTGCACTGGAATTAAAGAGCTTCTGTGCTGACTGAGGCTGTCATTGTATTTGGCTGCTAAGGCAGCACGGTTTGCTTTGCAGGGATTTTCTTGCCTCATAGACCAAATGGTGCTTCAAGTTCCTGCTAGCTGTAGAAAAGCCCTTCTCACTAGCAAGTGTGACTGATGGGCTCTCTGTCCGTTCCCACTGCTCTTTCCATGCCACCACGCACGGCTGCTCCTTCCATTTCACATATGCACTTTGCTCAGCACTGCATTATGTGCGTTACATCTACGCTTTGCTTCCCGTAGGCCTGGGTAAAGGTTCTGCAGGATGAGCTCTGTGCTAACAACCACGGTCTGCAGTGGACTCCCATGTTATATGAGTGCACTGGAGAGCTGCAGGTCCGTGGGATGCAGGAGGGATTCTCTCCACACTCCCTTTCCAGCCACCAGGGTGCACCATGGGGGGTATCTGTGAGTAATGCCCCCACTCCTGGCAGTGATGGCCTTTAAAGATCTGGCCGTGCCCTGAAGCAGTGCCTTTGTGGGGATGCTGTGACTGCTGGAGCTGCAGACTCCCACCCTGAGGTGCTGCAACCCCAGGATTGAGCTGGAGGGAGGCAGCTGCTGCTCCTGGCACGAGGAGGGCTGGGTGTTCTCGCTCCACTCGAAATCCTCTTTAGATCAAAAGGCATTGGACTCGGACTAATTTCAAAGCACCTTCTCACATCCCCAGCGCAATCTCTCGACTGAGCTCTAATCCCTGCAGCTGCCAGGCAATGCTGAGCACAGCCTGGCACATCCTGGTCCCCATTGCCAGATTTATCTGTGCTTGGAGCCCGCACTGCCTGGCAGAGCTGAGAGGGGCACCGTGGCTCACGCTGTGGGATGGTCACACTGATGGGTGACGCCTGGGAGCGGTGACAGCACCCACAGCCCCAGGTCACCGTGCCCATCACACCGCTGCCCAGGGACGCCCAGTACATGCACAGCCTCACACAGGAGCGTTTTACAGCTCTTCCAGACAAATTATCTGAGGGCACTTCAAACTCCGGTGCTATTAACGCCATTATCTGTGCCTAATTTTCCATCCCATCCCCTAACATTTCAATTTCCCCCTTCACTGATCTCCTGCTTTAATAGCTCTTCCAAACTTTGTTTAAGTTGAGAAATGCCCGTTCGGTTCTGTTCCCGCCGCCCCTCCTTCCCTTCCCCACCTCCTTCCCCTCACCATGTTTCTCTGCTCAGGGGCACAGTTCCCACATCCCCACTTCCTTGGGAATGTCCCTCCTTGCAGTCAGCCCCAGTTGTGTCCTGGGAGTGAAAGTCATGGATCTGGTGAACCTTTGCTTCCTCTCCATTCTGCAAGTCCTGAAACTCAGCCCAAGTTGACAATGTGCTTTTCTATCCCCCGGCGCAACTTGGAGAGCAAACTGTTCCAAGTCAATTCAGAGGGTTACAAACACGATCAGACGGTCTCCAGCAAAAGGCACATCTTTTTGGCCTTTTGTCCTTCCTCTTTGTGACCCATGAGATGCGCTGAAGCCTTTTGGTTCATTGCCACCCACAAGTTGCTGCTGCCTGCTGGCTTCCCATGGCCCCAAAGAAAGGATGTTCCCAAGCCCCGGTGCTGCGTGCTTGGGCTGCCACAGGGCTGTGATTCCCCACAGCACAGGATCTCAGTGTGTTGTCTCCCTGGGACCTGGCTTGCTCTGTAGGGCTTGCACCACGTGCCAGTCTTCTTAGGCATAGCGGGTAGCACAGAAAGAACCACACACAGCTTTTCTCACCTGGCTCAAAAGGGGAGAATTGCTCAGCAATGGACTCAGCAGACGATTCTCTGTGCCTCTCTGCTGCTCCATCCCCTGCTGGTTCACACCTCGGCAGAGGTGTTGGGTCCCTCACCCGGTCGCTGCCCTCTGATGGAGGAGAGGAGGTTGGGGAATCAATTACGACAGACAGCGTGGGAACCTGCCTGTCCTGAGGGGAAAGGTTGAGTTTGTATTTTCAATGTATCTCTGGCTCTTGCTTTTCAGCCTGTGCCATGCGCAAGGTCGGTGGGATGCAGCAGTGCAGCTGAACACACACTGCCAGCAGGCAGGGAGCAGGGCTCTCATCATCACCAAGCAATGGGGCCAGGCTGCTGATACCCATCCCCACCAGATCCACCTCCCAAAAAGCTCTGGGTGAGCAACAGTGCAAAAATCCCGGTGCAAAGCCCGAGTGGCTGCGTGCTGCGGGTTGCAGGATGCTCCCTGAGCACCACTCTGGGCTGATCGAAAGCAAATTGGCCAACATGGGGCTCTTCTTTATCAGGGACTGTGGTCGCAGCTAATTGCTTCAATGTACAGGTTGATGGGCTGTTACACGAATATTGCTTTTCTCATGGCTTCACAAAACCATTTTACAAATGGAGTTGGCTGCGATCCGCTGCTGCGTTTGTAGCTGCTGGTCTGGGTGTCAGCACAGAGTCTGAAGCAAGAGGAAGGAAAATACGACAGAGAAAGAGATAAGGAAAAATAAATGTCAAGCTGTGCTTTTGTGCAGACTGAGGGCAGAACGCTGGCAGCCTCACGAGCCTCCGAGCAGCGGGGGAAGGCAGTGCCAGGCTGGGTCTGCCCAAGGCCCTGAGCCCATGGCAGGGTGGAGAGGAGGCTCCAGGGGAAGCGTGGAGCAGCTGCCTCTCACTCTGAAGGTAAAGGTGGGATGAGCAGCCTCCAGTTTCCCCCAGACCCCCAGACCCCCGCTGCAGCCCTGCACCGCTCCTTGTGCAACTGTCAGCCCACATCCTGCCATCTTCAGCATCAGCACGAGGAGGATAATGACAACCCTGCAGGAACTCCAGCCGCGTTTGGGTCTGACAAGGAACTAAGATAAATGTGTGTTCTCAGTTAATATCATGCTTGGAGTATGAACAGAGCTACGGGAACGGCGAGGATTTCAATCAGGTGAGTTTATTAAAAATATATTGACTTGTCATTCCTGGCAGAAGCAAGGAAGGTCTGAGAGCCCCGGGGATCGGATCAGAGCAGTGCCAATAAAACCCAGACAAGATCTAACCTCGCCGTGGCAGCCCTCACACTCTGCTTCCGCTCCCCAGCTCCATTTCTCAGCCCCTCAGCAAGGAGCCTCTCCCTGTCTGCCCATGGGGAGCAATGGGATTTTGGAGGCAGCCCTCCTGGCCTCCCCACCCTGGAGCCCAGTGCTGCCAGCACATTCTGCATCCTCCTGCACACCGCAGATCCAAGCTCTTCCTTCCCAATGCCTTCCTGCCATAATTCAGCTCTCCGCTGAGAGGCTTTGCTGCTCCAAACCTCTTATTACCACAAATTGCCTTGCAGTAATAAACCAATCTCTCCACACTCGTTATTTATTGGGTGTACCTGGATGTTTCTGAATGCCAAAGCTGCAGCTCCAGGGCACGGCGCAGGAGCAGGGGCTGCTCAGAGCCACCCACCCTCAGGATGCTGCAGTGCCCTGAGCCCACGGGGACCTCACAGCACCTCAAAGCAGTGTGAAACATGCAGGTCTTGGCTGGGAGAGCAGTCAGCTCGTGTGACACATCTAAACTTTTAATAAGGAACAGCACTCAGCATAGCACATTTCCACCATTTATTGGACTGAAGTGCCTTCTATCGCTTCAGTGCCGGGCCCTGAAGCCTGTCCTGGGTGATTTAAGAATGATCCATCAGGAAAATGATGCAGACACTGTGTTACATCCAGCCAGGGAGCCACAGGAACCACTGTCACCCTGACCCAGCCTCAATCCCCCCTGCCAACCTCAGAGCCCTGCAGTGGGGGTACTGCCACTGCCATGCCGACGTCCTGCTTACAGCCTGCAGCCTGCAGTCTGGCTCCATTGAGGCACCACTGGGTCCCCTTGGTTGGGGTCCTTTTGCCCCTTCACCAAAAAAACCCAAACGACTGAATTTGCTCTTAAGAACCTGCACCCACATCTTGACCCAGTTGCTTGGTCGCTTCCTCTTTCTGGAGGAGCATTGTTGTGAGCTGATGCTTACCACCTCGCCCTGGATAAATCAGGGATCCGTTCTTCAAAATAGCGTGTTGATTGATGCTTAAAATATCCCCAGTAATTACTTCGCCCCGGTGTAATTACAATCATTAAACTTGGATAACGCTTAGTCCTGCTTTTTAACAGAGCTGTGCGCTGCGGCATCAGCGTGTGGTGATGATGGTGTGTTGTTTCCCGTCCCGTTCTGCAGTCTCACCCTGCTGCTGGCTGACTCAGCTCTGCTCGCTGCTCCTCATGGGCAGCGATCCAGTGCACGAAGCCCTAGAGCAACCCTCCTGCGTGGCATCACTGCCCATGGGAGACCTGCGTGGCTCCTGGGCTGCTCCTCGGCCCCAGCTCCGGGCTGCGTGGCTCAGCACAATATTTCTCCTTTGTTCCGGCAGTTGGGGCCGGTGAGTACTTTTCCAGCTGTGATGAATAGCAGGGAAAGGAATGAGATCCCAACGCTGTATTTCATTGCCCTGAAATCCCACGTGTGTTTGGAAACCGACGGAGTTCCCCACTGATCTGCGCAGCACCGGGGCCATTCGCATTCCGTTGGCTTGTACACACTGTCACGGTGATTTAAGATGCCAATTTGACCCTAAAAAGAAGAGCATCTCACTCTGTCCCTCTCTCTTTTCCCATATATTTTCCCACACAAGACAGCATTGGAGCAGGGTTCGGCTGGGCTGGGGATGAGCAGCTCACTGCTGCAGGAAGGGTTCAGCACCCCCAGCAGATGAAACCGGCAGCCATCCCTGCTTCAAAGCTGCACTGGGTTCTTCCCCTTTCCAGGACAGACGGTGCTGGAGGATCCCGGCCGTGCCATCCCCTCGTTGGGGTGAGACAACCCACGAGTCCCCATGAAACCCAATGATCCCATGGGGTTCTGCCTCTGCTGGGGGGTCTTGGGCTGGCACAGTGAGCTGGGGATGCTCCGGGTGCCTCCTGCCCTGTAACCCCAGATGGGAGCACAGAGGAAGCGAGTCACGAGCCGGCGCGCGGTTCTCATATCAGTTTTAATAGCAACATCAGAGTACT